AATTTTTTATTTTTATTTTTTCTACTTATTTAAGTATTTTTTAATTATTCATATAAATCTTTATTATTTTCGAATAACTTTCTTTTTTCATTTTTTTATTTTGTTGATTTTTTTCAATTACAGGGGCGAACACTGAACGGAAACGTATGTATTCTACGGCCACATCTCAGCATAAAAGAAAAATTACATTATACAATTTAACCCTTTGCGCTCTAATGGCTCTCAGACACCAATCGGTTTGATGCGATAACTCTAGAGGTAACTTTCCAGCATCATTTGAATTGATGTGACAATTCGAATGGCAACAATATTTATTTATGTTTGATTTTTTTTAGAATATCGTTTTATGAATAGATTCCTAAGTTCTTATATATATCTTATAAAGTATCAAATAATATATTATCAAATGGCTAGATTTTTTTTATCTCAAATTAAACTGTGATCGCGAATCGGATTATCTTCAACATCCGAGTTTGAGAATCGTGGCAATATTTTCAAAATTTTTGAGTTTTATAAACATAAAATATGATATGAATGAAATTAGTTCAAGATGAATTTGATTTTTTGTTATTGAATAACGAAATTACTTCTATTCATTAAGAAATTGACAAGAGAAGGAAAATAGTGATGAAAATAGAGATATAAGATATGAAAAAGAGATATGAGATATGAAAAATAAGAATAAGATAATAAATGTGAGAGCACGTTATTGGGTTTGTAAGGTTTGGTCTCAAATAAAAGTGAAAGATCAAACAACATTTTATTATGATACTTGCCCTGATAAACCAGAGAATGCATCTTGATAATTTATATGTTAATTTGTGTATGAAATCATTTTAAATTAGCTTTAAGAAAGTCACCAAACGGGTGTAGGAATCCTCTGGAATTATTGGTTCAGCCGAGCGAAAAAGATTTGGAGCGCAAAGGATTAAATATCCTAAATTATAAATGATGTTCTTTCCTTTTTAATTCCTTTAATAAATTTCATTATGTTTATTATTAAAAAATTAAATTCATAAAAATTTCATAAAAAAAATAAATATTCTAAATTTTTCTTGTTATAATAATAAAACAAATACAACAAATAAAAAAATTAATACTTTTGAAATATGTAAAGTATGTAAAATATGTCAGAAATAACATTTTTAGCATTATGCACCTTGGCGTTAAATTTAAGGGAAATCTTTATATGTATACGTACATATATATAGAGAGAGAATATATGCATGTGTATATGTGCGCGCGTGTGTGTGTGAAAGTACGAAGATATATGGGGAGAGATACGAAGAAATAAAAAAACCGAAACTAATAGTCGGGTATGTAGATTGCCAACATAATACAATGTAGGCAAAAATGTCGATTAATCCTCTTGAATACAATATTAAGAGCATGTAAACAGCTGACGAAGCTTCCCACGTAAAAAATTTGACGGTCTCAAAATCGTAAAACTGAATATGAAACGTCAAATTACGCAAAAATTTATTATTAATAAATCTCAATGTTAATTGTATCAAATTGGGTTTTACCGCGTCTTATTCTGTATTATTATATATTTTCTTATTATTTGTAAGTATTATTATTGTATACACATACATACATGTTATAACAATGCTCAACCAGCATTTGATTGTCTTTAAGTAAATATCTTTTGTTTAGTTTATATTTTTTTACATGATGTATTAAAATCCATTATCTTTCTAATAAAGATTAATTTAAATAAAATACTAACTTGTGACATAATTCATAAAATTTCAATATAATTATGTTTTTGGAATGAGATGAAAAACAAAAATAACCAAGTATATTATAATTAAAAAATTATATTTAAAATATTTTGTTATAATACTTACATATATATTTAAATAATAAATTATACATTGACAACAATGATTGTAATTTCAATTAAATCAATTTTTCTTTATTATATTTATATACAATTAATGTTTGTAGTGATAATAGCAATTAATGATAATGATTATGATTATAGTTAAAATGTTTGGTAATCCCAATCAATTAACATTGTAGTTTGTTTTAGTAAATGCGTTCTATAGTGTTGACTCGATAATGAATGACATGATTGTAAAATCATAAAAAAAAGTAAAATATTACAAAAAAAAGAAAAAAAGTGTTTATAGCTTGATATAGAAATATAGATAAATACGGAATAAATAATGAATTATTATATGTTAATGCATTATCGTCCAATTTGCCTCAATTTTTTTCAGTTGAAAATAGAACTTTGTGTTTCATTAATTATTATTGTATACTGTATTTATACAGTTGATTACATAAAGATATATGTATGCTACATTCATTATTGGAATTAAAAAAAATTATTCATATTCCTATTATATGGAAAAAACCCTTGATAAATAAAAAATTAAAAAATAAATTTGTACTTTATTCTATAATATATAAAAGAATTAAAGAAAGAATAAATCTTCATATGTACACACATAATTGCTTAAACACATTTTTTTGCTTAAACTGGAAGTACAATACATATATATACTTTCTATACAACAACAATTTATTATTATTTCATATAAAGGTACAACTCAGCAATATAAACGTAATAATGATATTGTAAAACATAATTCAATAAAAATATGTTTAATCATTATGATAATATTTGCAAACTAAGAAATAGATTGTATAGTATATATAAAGTGTTTAAATTTCATTCATTAAAAAGATTTTCACTATAGATATTTAATTGATGAACAATGAAAATTTTATCTATTATTATTCCCGTTTCTCTAATAAAAATAGATAAATAATAACAGAATATGAATTTCGGAAATAAAAATGAAAATGAATGTATCGATATATGATACATATAATCGATTCAATTTATGGTTTACTTCCATTTTATTATGTTTTATAATATTCTTACCCAAGTTATTCTATTACAATTATATGTAGTACATAACTACGAATATAGTGAAGTTACAGTAAGAAAATGAAAAATTAAATATAAATGTTTCGATCGTTGAAAAACATTGAAAAACAACTTGAGCATAATTTAAATGCATAAAGTATTCAAGTTCTTAAGTTTATTTTTTCGAAAATCAAAACATTTATAATTTCCTACTTACTATCACCTCACTATACTTGTGATCCATACTATACACACTGTGTAATTTATTTTTCTTTCAATATTTTAAATCATTCTTTAAATGATTTATTTATTATTTACGATATTCGACGTATTTAAAAATTTGTATTCCACTTGTACTTTAACGTAAATTAGTCCTTTTAACATCGATATCTATTTCATCTGAATTATTTTTTGGGACTAAACCCAAACTGTTTAACATTCCGGACGGTGCAGTATCTTCCACTGGATAGGCAGACATTTTTTTACATCTAATTAAATGTGTTGCTAATTGATTTCCATCAATTGTTGCATAACCACACGAACATTGCATTTTTTTATCTAATGGAATATTAATAAGAGGAGAAGGAACTACCAAACTTGTCATTGGTCGTTCATTATGAATTTGTTGTTGGTGTTCTTTAAATGCACGCCAACAACAAGTTACATAGCAACATAATTGACATTTTTGTTCACCTGGATAATGATCTTGTTCATCTATGTCTTCCTCACATTCTTGACAAGATAGATGTTCATCAAATGGAACATTTACTATAACTGGACCAGTGATCCATTTTTTGATTTTTTCATCACATGGTAATTCTGGTACAGGACTATCAATTTCATATCGTCTACTTTGAAATCTTTGTTTTGAAATCATAATTCCATTATTACCATTTGAATATGGAATAACTTTTGTACCAGATACAGAGTCATGCAATTCTCTTTGATGAATTTTTAATGAACTTTTTTGATTAAACCATAAACAACATCTTGAACATTTATTTCCCCGTCCTTGTTCCTTTCTGATAACATGCCTTTGCATATGTAATAAAAATGCATGAACGCTGGTAACATTAGGATTACCGTTTCTTACAAAACCTATTACTTTCAAACAATAAGGACATTGTAATCCTTCACCTTTCTCGTGAACTCGATAAAAATGATCAATAACGTCCTTATGACTCGAAGTACGATAACCACAGCTTTCACATCGATAGGGCATTTCCGAAGGACAATGCATCGATGATAAGTGATTTATAAGAAGGCCACTGTTTCCAAATTTTTGTTCACAAATGGCGCAAACAACCATGTCGCTATCAGAATGACCAAAGCTACTATGTGCTTCTGTAACGTGCGTAATCATTTGATGTTGAGAAGAAAATGCTGTGCAACAATACCTACAAACTGGAGAATTTGATTGTCCTGGTACTTGTGGTGGCACATGACCAATAGTGTGTTCCATCACATCTGTATTTGAACGCATCATTGTAGGACAAAGAAAGCATTTAAAGTATAAAGACGATTTATATTCTTTTAAAAGAAGCGTTTTTTCACCTTCCATTGTAGCATAATAAAATTCTTGCAATTGTATTTGGTCGTTTTTGCACTCCTTATCTTTTTCTCTACCTTTTGAATCAAAACTTTTTTTCAAATCAGGCTCTGGACTAATTGCTGTTGCTATATTTCTTTTTCGTCCTCTTTTCGAACCGGATTTTGTTATTTGAATAGAAGGTAATGTCTCTTGTTGTTGTATAATATTGCTACTAGTTGAAACTAAAACTTCGCAGCCCGAATGAATTTCTTCTTTATTTATTGTCATAAGTGGTGTTAATGGTGGTGGATTTGCAGTTGAATAAGACCAATTATGAAAAGGATTAGCAGCTATTTTAGTTAAACGATCTAGAAGACTTTCATTTGAATCAATTCTAGTTTGTTCCGCAATGTGTCCAATAATGTTGTCAAATGCTCGAGCAGCAGTTGATCCATATATTTCTCTCCATACTAATTCATCTAAAAATTGTTGTATCATTTGTCTACTAAGCAAACTAAGAGTATTTTGAAACATTCTTGGAACAATTTTTCTTAAATATTCCATAATGTGATAGTTGCTCATGAAATTTCGAGGACTTTGATCAGAAAATGCTGATTGTGTTACATGATTAAAACCCATTTCTTCAAGTGTGCTTTTATCAACAGTGAAATCAGTCATAATTTTTGAATCAGTATGTACCCATTCTTTCAATGGATGTAAAATATTATTAAAGCGTCGTTTATATGATCTATCACCATCTTGCACTGGATCGCATGCTCTTAATCTTAAATCAAGTGTAGCATAATCCAATACACCAAGTACTTCGACTTTCACTTGTCTTAAATTTCCATCTTGTGATGTTGTACCTAAACTAATTACACCAACTTGTATCACGGAATTTTTACCTCCCATTTTTCGAGTTTTATCCCAAACTGCAGCAGTACAAACACTACGTAAATGGGTATAAAAATT